CCCTAGAGCCCGAGGCAACCAAAGTTGAAGTCATCCACAAATGGCCTGAACCAGCAAATGTCCGAGAGTTGCGTTCTTTTCTTGGTCGCACTTCATACTACCGTAAGTTTGTGCCTAAATTCTCTATCATCGCCCGTTTGCTATCTAAATTGACAAGCAAGAACGTGTCTTACAAGTGGGATGGGGAATGCTCAACCGCCTTTCAAGAATTGAAGGAGGCCTTGGTGAGTCATCAGGTGCTCCACATTGCAGATCCTAAACTTACATTCATAGTAACTACGAACGCAAGCTTGTACGGGATCGGCGTTGTGCTGCAGCAAGATGATAGTGACGACTTACGTCTGCTTGAGTACTACAACAAACGCATGCCCAGTCACAAGGTAGCTGCCTCCACCTACATCCTAGAACTCTATGCCTTGAGAGAGGCACTAGATCATTGGAGACACTACCTCTTGGGTCGCCATTTCAAAGTGTTTTCAGACCACGAGACTTTGAAATGGATCCAGACACAGATTAATCCATCAACTACATTGACCCGCTGACTGCATGAGATTGATGTGTATGATGTTGAACTTAAACACAAGAAAGGTTGTTACAATCGCGTTGTGGATGCTTTGTCTCGCCACCCTAAGTACATGGCTTGCCTTGTGGGTTCCTACGATCTCCGTAAGAATTTGAAGGAGTAACTAGTTGATTATATTACGGAGGACCCGAAACTCAATCCCATTCTTGAGCTGATCCAAGTTGACCTTAGCAGTCAACCTGATTTCCACGAGTGTGAAGGTTTGCTCTTCTGACGCTACAAGAAGTACGACCCACTGTGTGTACCCAACCATGAACCTATCCGTACTCACTTCCTGGACTTGGCTCATGGCTGGAGTGGACACTTTGGTTTTGAGAATACATACGGAAGCCTACTGCAAAAATTTGTATGACCTGGAATGAAAGGAATGACATAAAAGTTTGTGGCTGAGTGTCAAGTTTGTCAACACATCATATCGTCTCGATAAAAGCCCTATGGGCTGCTGCATCCTCTTCCTATCCTTGATGGCCCGTGAGAGTCTCTTTCCATTGACTTCACGAACATGGGAAAAAGAGCAGGAACGGATATTTGCAAGTAATGATGATAGTTGACCGCTTTTCAAAATTTCTAAATTTGATTCTGTTGCCACCCCACACCCCACTTAACCTTGTGATCGAGGAGTTTCACAACATGTACATTCTGTAGTGTGGGCTCCCGAAGACTCTTGTGAGTAACTGGGACACTAGTTTCGTAAGTGCAGATTGGAATGACTTCACCTCCCAGTTTTATGACATCAAAATCAAGATGACGTTTGGTCGACATCTCGAAGCCAATGGATTGGCCGAGGAAATCAACCAAACTATGATTCTACTTCTCCAAGCTCTAATTGTGCCTGATCAGAACTCTTAGGATGAGGAATTGCCGATTGTGCAGGTATTGTACAACAACTCCATACATTCCTCCACCGGGATGACACCTAATCGACTACAACTCGGGTGGCAAGTTCGCAATCCTCTATCCTATTCGTTTCCTGACCCGCCACTTTGCCTAACACGTGGCCAGCCTGGCTACAGCGCTAAGTTTCATTGCTTGCTCAAAGTTGTTGTTGCAGCTATGGAAAGGTGACACAGTGCCATGATTAAGCATACCAACAAGATGCGCCAGCCTGCACCTTTCACAATGGGAAGTTACGTTTGGGTCAAGATGTGTGAGTTTTTTGAAGAAGAGGGTGTATCACGAAAGCTTCTTCCTCAATATTACGGTTCGTGGAAGGTATTGAACCAGGTAGGGGAGGATTCATTTGGTCCTTCTTACACGATCAACGTGCTTTTGAAGAAGAGGGTGTATCACGAAAGCTTCTTCCTCAATATTACGGTTCGTGGAAGGTATTGAACCAGGTAGGGGAGGATTCATTTGGTCCTTCTTACACGATCAACGTTTTTTTGAAGAAGAGGGTGTATCACGAAAGCTTCTTCCTCAATATTACGGTTCGTGGAAGGTATTGAACCAGGTAGGGGAGGATTCATTTGGTCCTTCTTACACGATCAACGTGCTTACTCATTTGCTCACCTACCAGTCTTTCACTCGTCGAAGTTGTTTCCATATGTACCACCCGAAACTTCCCCGTATTGAGAATCGATGATTCCTCGTGCAATCAATGGCAGTCACGAGATTGATAGAAATGTCGAGCACAGTGGAAAAGGGAAAAACGGACAATACAAAGTCCATCCCATTAAATGATTTTTACTGGATTGCTAAGAAAGATGTGTTGCAGAGTGCCCCGCCAGTCGTCAACGCATATGAGCGGCTGATTGTCTCCAAACAACAACCTATATTGACCTCTACCCCCTCACTCCTGCGGAACATACCGGATCTCTCTTTGCCATGTACACTTATGATGCGTTATGCAGGGACTCTTAGTGAGTCCCTGTGAGTTACTCGCTCGAAGGGACCTCTCTTTTGAGGGGGGGGTAGTGTAATGACCCGCCGTAGCACGGACTGAGAGCACTGCTGATTTCTTAGTTCTGCGGATGGGGTGGCTGCCTTGCTGAGATTCCTGCATTCTACAGAGTTTTCTAAGTTTGTGTGTGTGCATGATTGATGACCTGCGTGCCTGTTTGAGTGCTTGTCGGCATGAGTGTCTGTGTGACCCGCAAGGGTACTTGCTTGTTTGGGAGGCTCATAGGGCCAGTACTTACCTGTGGCCGTGATATTGAGGGTTGCAGCAAGGAAAACACTCAATTGGTGGAGCAAGGGCCACGCGACACTTAGAGCAACGGAAAAACACTCAAGTAGCAGGTAGGCCGGTACCACACCCAGTCGAAGTAGATGTGTCGGGTACTCGAGGCCGAGCAGAAGAAGGCAAAGTTGGCATTTTTAGAGGCCCGGTAGCGGTAGGCTAGGTCTAGGTGGGGACCAGTCCATCCAGTCCGAGTCTAGGGCCTGTACGGGCAATATAAGGGTCTGCAATGATGTTTCCCTCTGAAAGGGAGGAGATATTGGTTGCTTGGGAGGTCGAGCGGCCTGGAAGTCGCCGCTTAGAAGGCAAGTAGGCCGCTATATCTAGAGGTTGAGCGAAGAGCCCAGCCTCATTCTTCAATGTGCAAGTTTGGCGACACACTGCTGGAGCGCTGGCTACTACAACGCTGCTGGGAGGAAAAAGCGCGGACCTTCCACCTTGGTTATGGTGGAGCTCTACCGGTAGGAGGAGGAGGGAGAAGAGGACCAAGGAGGAGAGTGGCGAGGTACCTACCTGGCTATGGTGGACACCGTCTTCATTACCTTGATAGGCGCTGCATTGTAAGGCCCCAGTTGGGTTAGTGCCGCACCAAGGAAGCTCGGGGCAGAGTCAGGCATGGCGACCTAATGAGCAGCGACATAGCTGCTTGTGTTGTCCTTTGCACAAGAAGGCAGTGACATAGTTGCTTTGGGTTGTCCTTTGGATAGGAGGGTAGAGCCCTCAGTAGTCCGCCATCTGAATTCAGAAATGAGATTGTAAGAAGAATCACTCTCAGATTGGGTGTCAGAATTCGGTACATAATCACTTGTCACCGTTAAGCAAATATGTCAGTCGAGAGAGGTCACTAGCCTCGACGCACATGAAGAGGAAGAGGAAGGGTGGCCATGGCTATGGTGGACCTCATGTTGTGCCTGCAGTAGAAGAGGGATTCATACATTGATTTTGGTTCAGCCATTCAACATTATTATTGCTATTTGTTATTTGATTAAGAGGGGAGGAGATAAGGAGGAGCGTGGTTGGCGAAGACGAAGAGCAGTATCATTGGTATATGTTGGAGTACATCTTCTTCTTCTTCTTCCTTTCTTCTTCTTCTTCTTCTTCTTCTTCTTCTTCTTCGTCTTCTTTTTTTCCTCTCTCTCTTCTCTCTAGTTCATTCATTTATTTTTGCCATTGGACGACATTGTACTTCGTGGTGAATGTGTATTCGAATTTGGCCAGAATCATAACAATTCAATTTTTTGTAAAAAATGAGGAAATTTAAATAAAAAAGAAAAACAAAAGAAGAAAAAACAGAAAAATTCGAAGTTGCATTGGGGGGGGGGGGGGGGAGAATGGAAAAGTGATGAAGAAATAGAGAAATAGGTGAGAAAGATTAAAAGATTGAAGTGTGAGGTGGGGATGATGGGGTTGTGGTTGGGGGAGGGAAACGGGAGAGGAGGGTAGGAGATTGGGAGAGAAAGGGATGGGAAAGGTGGAGAAGAGAAGGGAAGATTAGTGGAAGAGAGAGAGAGTAAGGAGGAGAGTAGGAAGGAGAGGTATGAGAGAATAGTGGGAAGGAGAGGAGAGTAGGGAAAATAAGAGAGAAGAGTGAGGTAGGATGAGGGAGTAGTGGTAGAGGTAGAAAAGATGATTAGATGATGTGGGGAGGAAGAGAGAAAAGGGGTTGGGGGAGAGTAGGATAGTGAGTAGGTAGGTTATGCCATGCTCTTGAGTGGCCAAGAGCAAACAAGATCACCAAGATTCACAAGGTCTTGGCCTTCAAGGTGCTGGCAGCCTGTGTGCTGATAATAATACAAATAATCTACGGTTGGCTGAGATTTTGATCGGCCACCCTAATTGCACTGTCGCGCAGCCCCCTAGCCTGGGGGGCCTTCACTGCTGCCAAACTGTCGTTGGAGTAGTAGAAAAAATAATAATCTTCATCATCATTATCATCTGGTTGTGCTCAAATTTTGATCAGCCACCCTGATTCCACTGTAGTGCAGCCCCCTAGCCCACGGGGTCTTCAAGTTCTTCAGCAAGCTGCCATGTGGCACTGTAGATGGCCACATGCGCAGGCAGCAGCAGCCACGACGCGGGGGGGGGGTGTAAATAGTTGGTGTGGCACTCTTCAACACAAACGTGCCACACTACCAAGGCATGAACAGAGTTTGGCCAGTGTGTTAAGGCATTGGCCACACACGCGCATGGCTAGCAGCTATGTGAGAACTTGTCTTGTCTTGTCTGTTTGAGAAACAGCCCGTCTCACGCGAATCCTCTAGGATTACTCAAACCACTATCTATTCCAATTGAACCAGGTGAGTCCATCTCCATCGACTTTATGGGTATCACCAAGAGTCGAAACGGGAATAGTCAGGTAATGGTGATTGTTGACAGATTCTCCAAGTATGCGATGTTCATTCCTTCACCAGCTAAAACCAAAACGAAACTCGTCATCCAGGAATTTCAAATGCGATGGGTTTTCGAATATGGATTCCCGAAAACCATCGTATCTGATCGGGATGTCAGGTTCACACGTCAGCAGTCGCAAAAGCTAATAGAAGTCTATGGCACTAGGTTGACCATATCGTTAGGGGGAATCCTTGAAACAAATGGACAAATCGAGCAGATGAATCGACCGTGCCAACAACTTTTGCGCATGTATGTTCGGCCTAACCAAATTGATTGGGATGAGAACTTGCCTAAGATTGCTAGTGCATATAATAACAATGTTCATACTGTCATTGGAACGACGCCCAATGCACTGAACCAAGGTTGGAAGTCGAGGCGCCCTATTGATACTTTGACCAGGGAACAAGTCCAACGGCTACCCTAGGTACGAGAAAATTTGCAATTTTGTGTGACCAAGATATCGCTAAGGTAAAGGAGAATATAAGAAAAGCCCAAACCCGGATGAGCTAGGCCGAATCCAACCTTTCTCAAGAAGGTCGTCGAGTTGTGCCCGTAGCACACTTAACTCTTCCTTGCTCATGCCGTAGATGCAACCATGAGGAGGTATGGCCCCGGCCTCGAGGATGATCTCATGGCGGATGGGCCGATCCGGTACTACTCCGTGTAGGGCTTCGAAAACGTTGCCGTAGGCGTCGAGAAGCTCGGTGATGGGTGGATCCGTCGATGCGTCCGCCGATGAGATGTCATGGGGCAGGAGGGCGTGGAGAAAACACACACCCATCTCCTCGATGTCGTCTCGGGTGATGGAAGCCCGAATGCTCGCGGCGGACACCACGTGACAGTTGATCAAAGGGTGAGGTGGAGGCACCGTGCATAGGATTAGTACTCCGTTTCGATCACGAACGTGAACGGTGCGGCTATAGAAGTTCACTAGTCGATCCTCACTTCACAGCCATGACATGCCCAAAATCATATGGAATTGGGTGTTCAAAATGTCGATGGACACGGCCACGCTTGCATGCGGGGTGAAGTACACGGGGACGGAATCAATGCACCGATCGATTGAGTTGTGCGTGTGACCGTTGGCCAACGTGACTTGCGTGGACTGCGACTTCCTCCGAACGCGTGGCCCAAGGCCAGCACGTACCGTAAAGTCTTGGTTGATCTCGTTGGGAGTAGCTCCGCAATCGATCAAAGTGCTGCAGGTCGTCTCTCCGATCTAAATGTGTATGTACAACAATGGCGCGTTGATGTTGTCGTACCGTTGTGTTTTGAACTCGCGGTCGATCTTCGCAACATAGTCGGGAAAGTCAGCAACCTCTACTTCGGCATCCATCAACGGAGCTGGTACTGCACTGTGCAAGTACTCCTGCAATTGTGCCGTGAGCACGTTGCAATGCGGTTTCGACAATCGACTGGTCGGGGAAAGGGGCATCCATTGAAGTCTGCGAACGTCAACGGGTCGATTTCTTGAAGTCTTGACCATGATGTCGAATCCCCGGTGATAGTTGCGGTGAAGTTGCCGAATCGGTTGCCGATCGTGCATGCGGTGGATTGTTGCACGTGGAGTGGTTGGTCCAACGGTGGGACCAAGTGGACAGCGTAATCCTCGTAAGTGAACCGAGGACTCGCGACATCCGCATTCTCCCCAGATGTGTAGGAGGCCGCTAGCAAGGCGGCCGAATCTGGTGGAGTGAGAGGTGGAGTCGCCTCACCTTCCGCTCAACTCAGTTTCCTGAGCTGATTCGATGCCGAACATCCTCCTTGCCTTTATCCTGGCATTGGGAGGTCTTGTGCTTGGTGTTGTTGCACCAATAGCAACAGCCGTATCGGTTGCGGTACTTGTATTCGACCTCAGCCAGTGTACTGGCTGTCCATTTCCAGCCGGCGATGCTGTTTTCGCCTTCCCTGGACAGCGGCCACTCTATCTCCCTCACGTGATGCTGGGGTGGCTGCCAGGCTAGATTGCAGCGACATGCTGCAGACGGGGACCAAATTTTCCTTTCTCCACATGGTCTGGCTGCCACGCTAACTTCTCGTGTGCAGCAGTCCGGTTGGTCTTGATGATCTCTCGCGCCTTGTCGATGGTTTCGGCGAAGGTTTTGTACTGCTTGCAATCACCGAGTGCGAGGCTAAAGGCGACACACGACCGATTGTAGAAATCCGGACGCAGATGCGAAAAAAAATAGTCGTAATGAAATTGATAGCACCTAATATTGAGGAAACACCCGATAAATGAAGACTAAAAATAGCTAAATCCACAACTCCTCTAGAATGACTGGTTATACCGCTTAAAGGTGGGTAGACGTCCACCAAATGGTGCAGAGATTGTTAAGACTGAATGCATAAAATATGGTCAAACATCTTTGCATGTGTTCTTAGATAAAATAGATTATGCTCAAGCACAAGCAACTCCTTATGGAATCTTAGGTGTCCAGGTGTGGGTCTGATATTCATAATATCAACCAAAACACATGTTATATCCAAAAGGACCAAAACATACAAAATTTCGTAAATATCAGAAAGGAAGAAGCTAAGGCTCCCACGCGATGGCACAACTTTGTTTTCGAAAATATGGTCTTAAAAGTTGTGAAGCAGGTCACATATCATATTAAGGAAGTGAAGCAGCACGTCATGCCATCACCAGGAAATTTCGGAGACATGGTAAAATATGGGTGAGAGTTTTTTCAGATATTCCTATTACCGGCAAGCCTACAGAAGTCAGGATGGGAAAAGGAAAAGGATACCCTACAGGTTGGATTGCTCGTGTTTCCCAATGACAAATTATTTTTGAAATGGATAGTGTTAGTTTGTCAAAGAAAGAAAGAAAGAAAGAAAGCGGCAAGCCACTCACTTTGCGTCTACTTTCAATTCTAATTTGTTGGATTGATCGATGTTGAGGGTTTCTTTTACGTATGTATTGTATGGTTGGTCTTGTGAAGTTCAAACTCTTACAGTGGGTAGAACACAAAGTAAGATAAGCGATTGATTACATAATTGAGCAAAGAAGGAAAGAACATACAATACAGAATGAAAAACGAATGGTTATTGCAGATTGCTTATATGGACGCTGCATAGCCTTGGCAATACGGATTTCAAGATGCAAGGAATTATTGAGTGCGCGCAAGTCGCAAATCTCAATTGCAGGGCGGCCCCAACTCTGCCACACCATCTCAAGCTGGCGCAGGCCAAGGGTGTGAGCGATAGTAGTAGGAAGTCTAGTTTTTACTGGTATTCATTCTTGTTTGACTCTTGGATTGAGACCTACAGACTCTTGAAAAACTAGTTTCTTCTTTTTTACCACATTGCCTACTTTATTACCTTTAATTTTTTTTTGTACTTCATATCAAACTGAGGACGAAGCTATGACTCGTATTAGCATGAAATCAATTATGCTCTCCTCTTTCGAGTTAGTCGTTACGGGGTCTATGAAGGCGCTCGCGTTCATTGAATTGCTTTCTTTTCTAGATACAATCCACCGACTTCCACGGTATTGCCATGGTTCTTTGTTTGTATAAATAAGAACTAACGGTTCCACCGTTATGAACCAGTTTTTCTATAAGCGCTCACGAGCCTATAGGGCAAAAGGCATAAAGCGTAAAATATGTTGAAGAATCAATACTCGGACGATTGATTCCTACTCTTTCTTTATTTACCCCTAGCCACAAGTCATCCCCGTATTTTGCCACATACGTGGGTTCGGTCCTCCAAGGCCCGTTAGGACTCTCTACAACCTTCTCATGGCTACAATTTCATTACGCCTACACCTAAGGGTTTAAGCTTGTTGTATCAATTTACTCGCTGACCCATTATGCAAAAGGTACGCCGTTAACCTTTGCAGATTCATCATCCATTGATTGATGATGCATCTTTCAGCTTTCGACTGATTGCTTGCATCGGGTTTTAGGTTTTCTATTTCACTCCCTTTCTTAGGGTTCTTTTCGCCTTTCCCTCACGGTACTTGTACACTATCGGTCACTGAGAAATGCTTAGGCTTAGAGGGTGGTCCCTCACATAATTCAAACATGGAGCGCGTCTTAGGACGTGAAAACACTCGATCCCATTCCGACCTCGATCCATGAAATTGTCTTGCGCCATATGTACCGATTTATTTTGGAAGACATGGTTCATGCCCGGACCTATCAGAACACTCAGTAAACCCAACCATCCCATATTACGCACTAATGGTGGATAATCATATTTTTTTGAAGTGCTCAAAATCACTCCATAGATAAGTAATAAGATAGTGGCATTTATAAGAACGATGTTTGGAAAGATGGCTGAAAAATCATTGTCAAACATGGGTATCTTCTCTTTTTTGGTCGGCGGCTGGTCAAATACAAAGGCCCTTTAGGGCCCAAATTCCCCGTGTTGTACTAAATTACTTACAAAGGTATGCATACACTCTAGGAATACCTCAGGATAAACACCCATCTAAACAACTTCAATTACAAAAGGTAAAAACCTGAAAAATTCTCTTATGTTTAAATCGAAGAACTTATGAATGAAATACGGCTTGAAATTTTCAAACACAACATGATTATAGAGCCAAATGGAATAAGCTGCTCCTAAAATCATTCCAATGGTTGCTAATGTTGCCACGTTGGGTGCAACTTGAAAAGCGCCTACTAAAATAAAAAACTCACCAATAAAGCTACTAGTGTCTGAAAGACTAATATTTGCTAAAGTAAAAAACAGGAAAATAATAGAGAAGATAGGCATTGTACTGACTAAACCTCCATAATATTTAACAAGTCGGGTTTTATGTCGATCATATAAAGCACCTACAGATAAAAAAAGGGTTGAAGAAACCAGTGCATAACTTAACATGAGTAAAATACTACCTTGAATTCCTTGTATATTGAATAAAGTGAAACTTCCCCACTGACCAAAACATGCCGACGTTACTCGAGTCCTCTCCGAACCATACGAGATAGTCACATTGAAAAAATCCGACAAAGTCTTCGAATCATTGTCCAATGCTCGAATCAAATGCCTAGTGGCATGATCAAAGCGGATGATCGTGAACTTTGTCCTCCTTCACGCTCTCAAATGAAACAATCCATGGAATCCTTAATTCATCACTTTAAGCTTTACACAGAGGGTGTGTTTGTACCAGCTTCTTCCACGTACACCTGTGTAGAAGTACCCAAAGGAGAATTTGGTGTGTATTTAGTTAGCAACGGAACCAATCGTCCTTATCGTTGTAAAATTCGAGCACCTGGTTTTGCTCATTTACAAGGGCTTGATTTTATATCGAAACATCACATGCTCGCAGATGTGGTTACTAGCATAGGTACTCACGATATTGTGTTTTGTTGCCGCGATCTTTTGCCACTCCATGAGCCAGTCATGTGTTGGTGTGTTGCCTTGAGTCGTGCTGAAGAGGCAGTTGATGGCGAGCGCCGGGGCGTCGTCCTCGATGAACCGCTTCTTCCATTGTGTCGTCAAATCTTCCCAAGAGATCTTCTTGTGTAGATTGGCGACCTGGACGTTGTGGATGGTTGCTAGGTGGCTGAGCCCTTCGAGTTGAGGAACAACGCCCCGATGTACGAGTGCTCGGGGACGTGGCGAATTCGAAGTTCCGCCGTAAAGCCCTCCCACCAGGGGACCGGGTCTTTATGCGTATAGTCATCAAACTTTTCGATCCGGAATATCGACATTTTGTAATGCTGCGGACTGCTGCCATCGTGCTAGGGCGGCTGGTGCAACTTCCGAACCTCGTTCTTCAAGGCGTTGAGTTGCTCACTGATGGTGGCGGGTGCGGCAAAGGTGCTGATGTCGTCGAGCATCGCGACTACATGGTCAACTCGTTCCTCCAATTGGCGGKTTGAGGCTGCACTGCTGGGTTCGCCAGCGTCTGGTCCTGGTGCTGCTTGCTCCAGGTCTTGTACATGGGAATGAAGTGCCCGTGTAGCATCCTCGTGCAGACCCTTGTGGTTCCGCACTGTCCGTCGGAGGTTGTCCAGTTCCTGGTGCTGTCTCTCTAACTCGGACTGTGGGTGGTTACAAGTGTAAACCAACCGGGTCACGAGTTTGGAGAGGAACTCCTTGTGCAGTTGTTTCGGTGTTGCGTCGTCATGGCTCTCAGATGGTTCAAAATTCCAGAACTTGAGCTTGTCAACGCTGGCGGCTTCGTCCCGCTGCAGCAGATCCTGGGCTTCCTTGCGGCGGGCCTGGGCATCTGCGTCAGCTTCGGCCTGAAGCCGCTGCTTTTCAGCTGCTGTCGTCGCTTAAGCCTGTAGGCGGGCAGCCTCGGCTGCCACTTGGCGCTGTTCCTCAACCTCTATCAGTGCGAGCTGAGCTTGGAACCGCTGTCGGTACTCGACAATGGACTCGTTGGCCAGTTGGCCTGGCATGCCCAAAGCTGAAACCAACATGGTGGTAAGCCGCTGCTTTTCAGCTGCTGCCGCCGCTTCAGCCTGTAGGCGGGCAGCCTCGGCTGCCGCGTGATGCTGTTCCTCAGCCTCGATCAGTGCGAGCTGAGCTTGGAACCGCTGTCGGTACTCGGGAATGGACTCGTTGGCCAGTTGGCCTGGCATGCCCAAAGCTGAAACCAACATGGTGGTGAGGCACAAGTGACGTGGCACTGCTGATGTGGCACTGTTGGTGACATGGCACTGCTGATGTGGCACTGTCGCTGACGTGGCACTGCTGATTTGGCACTGTTGTTGACGTGGCACTGCTGATTTGGCATTGTTGCTGACGTGGCACTGTTGACATGGCACTTACCAAAATCGGGAATGCAGGCAAACGGTTGGGTGGGAGGGAAACGCAAAAAGGTAACCAACCAAACTGTAGTTTCCTCCCGGTCCTTATCAACAGAATAAAATAAAAAATAAAATAAAAGAAGAGGATCACCCCCCTTTTTTTTTGTGTGTGTGTATCTGTCGATCTGCTATAACTGAGGCATTTCAGAGGAGTACGATGAGCGAGATCTAGGCAAGGTTTTGCGAAGTTTCCGCTTTCAAAAAAATATCATTTTGATTTATTTTTTTTATGCGAAATAAACTGGAGGCTCCACTTTCAGATAAGAATAGATCCAGTCCGAGAATATGACAACCTCCCTAGTTCACCTAATATGCTCAGAGTAAAACAAGAAACGAAATGCTAATATCCAAAGTTGCAAAAAAAAAATAAAAAAAATTGCGGAGATTCGACGAAGCCCTACTTGATTCACTAACAATCAATCAATCATTCAACAATCAGTCGATCAAGCAAGCTGGCTCCTTGATTGGGCGGGTCCTCTGATTGAGAGGTCCGCTCCGATACCAAACTGTCGCATACCGTAAAGGTGCAGACCAGAATAAGAACCGACCTCTGTCACATAGTACAAGATAGTGCAGTGGAAGGCTAGTATACCAATGATCCGACCAATCAATGTCGCAATGCAGACCAAACATACATCATCATCATCGCATGGTGTGAAGAGACCTGGCGCTCACACAGGAAGAATGCGCCAGTCCCAAACATACACAAACGAAGAGGAGGGGGACTAGACGAACAAGAGGGGAAGAGGGGAACGTCGTCAACACCAAGTTTTCGGTTCAGGTCCCAAATAATCCCTCGTCCAATGTCTCAATCCCAATGTTGAGTCTTAATTCGAATGTCGTCTAGTCCCAAAATTACCAATCTCTCTCTCTCTCGCTCCCGTAGTCTGCAGATACTGAGAAGTTCGATAGCGAGAGGGTGAGGGAGAGATGGTGGACTTAGAAGAGGAAGAAGTAGAACTCTCTCTCTCTCTCTTGGTTCGGTACTAACCTGTGAAGGTGGCGCCTGGTTGCAGGTACATCGAAGACGAAGCTGGAGCTATGGCGCCACAGGTAAGTCTCCCTGGCCTCCGCCAACCCTCTCTCTCTCCCCAACGCTACTCTAGCACCTAATAGCGCCCAGCGCTGAATGCTACTCCTAACGCTACTACTACTACTGCAGCGTTCCTCCAGAGTGCTGCTGCCAAATCCTGAAGACTACCTCCTGCCTCCTGCACGTGAAATGCCCGTGAACTGCCTGGGAAGTCCCCGTGACTACCTGCAGCCTGCAGGTCGGGGCAGTTCTATATAGTGCTGGCCCGTCCAGGAGGCTGCTCTTGCCAATGCTGAAATGTGCCAGACCCTGGCGTTGAAGTTCAAACAAAGGTTGTCTTGAAATAAGCCCAAAAATGGCCTGTGCTAAACCCTGGTCTGGCGCCTGAGTTTCAGGGCAGGTCGACTTTACGAGGGCCTGAAAATGGCCCTTGTTTTCAGGCTGTTTGGCTGAAATGACACAGGGCGTGTAGGGCCCTTATTTTCTGTTTGGTCGGGCCCTGCAGGCCCGTGTGGCTGCGCAGTATGCCACAACCGATGTTTCCCTTATAAGGATGTTTTGATGAAATAATGGTTTCGCTGTTGTCTTCTGAAAGGTGCAAGTCCCACCACGTATGTGTACTTAACCATAGGATGCATACACAACCGTTTGCCTTTCAACACACTTGCAACTTATATGTGTCTGTTCTCTTAGGGAGGCTCAACTGTATGCATGCTCTAGATTGTGCATGTGTGCGCTTGTGCACTCGTGCATGTGTTGTCAACAAATTGCCAGATAACAACCCACGTGTTGTCCATGCTTCTGAAACAGAGAATGTCATTAAAAGATGTGCAAGATCCCCCAACCCTGTGTGGTTTACCAGGAATGCGAACAAATGTCTGGTTGATGTGCACTTATGTTAGAAATACAAATACAGGTAACTAGACAACACAACCTCCCAACCAAGGTCATGAATATTCGTGCAACACCTGCCAGGAGCCCTTCTTCCCAGACTCTCCTTCAAGTAAGAAGCCACATATACCTTTTTCCCGTGTCACACATAAACTCTCTGAACCCGCCCACCAACACCCTTCGTGTTCATGACAACTGGAATCGTCTTAGGCCAGGAAAATGCCAGACCCTCTTGCCCTGATGCATAGAACTTTCGGACCCATTAATGTGACGGTCATCGGGGGGCGTGAGAGAGTAGAGAGGTGTAATTGCTCTATTACGGCATGCTTGTCTAGGCCTTTACTAGGTTGAGTCCACAATGTGAAAAACTGGTTATGTTCGGACAACTCACACACACACACACACACACACACACACACACACACACACACACACACACACACACACTTGGACTGTCCCTACATATATAACTATTGCTAATTTTCGGCCTGTGACAAGCAGACGATCAAGGCCCTGCGATTCTACACTCCGCGACGTTCCCGATCATCTGTTGATTGTTTGCTCTTAGAAGTTGAACCGCCGCGGGCGGCTCCGCGCCAGGACCTGCACCCGACCCATGCGCCAGGGTCGGTACCAAACCGTGTTACCGGCCCTACCGCATGTGGTACCGGTGTCGAGCGCATTGGTCCGGCACGACACAAAACGGGGCGGGACCCTCCCGGCCACGTCACTCAGGAGTCGGTCTGATCCACGTCACAAATGCATATGGAGCTTCCGCAAGCCGCTCCGGCTGAGTGCGCCAACCATACCTCTCGCGAGCCCCTACGACAGGATAGGGCCTACACGAGGCACGACTTTCCTCCACCTTACGGGAGTTGTCACCTCCCTTTGGTGGGCGTATCCCCGCCGAGCTACCAGTCCACAGTACGAAAGCTAATCAGCTGCAATCGCAGAGGTGTATCAGTCGTGGGCGTTTCTCGTTCGATGTAGCATAGGGGGTACGCGCGGTTTTACTCCTCTATCGGACCCGCACGTGAACCGACATCTTGGGGGGCTGAAGTCCCAAGCGGGATTTGTCGCCGGTCGACTAGGACGTATCCCACACACCACGTGCACAACACTCTAGAGAACATAAAAATAAAAATACGCACACATACACGCACATATACAAAAACCACATAGAATAAACAACACGACAACACTCCTAGTCCCTAAGTAGCCAAGCCACAACTCTCCGATGCGAAAGTCGGACAGGCGTCGTGCACGAGACTTAGTATGAAACCGTGCGGGCGCAGGGCCAATTCATATCGACTAGCAATGCATGAATACGCAAGCAGTCGCACTGATGGCGTACTATGTAGTGCCCATAATCAAGCGGTGCCTCGTGAATCCGAGTACCGCTTATGCCACTCAAGTGTCAAACTCGAAGTATCGTGAGGGTCTATCCCTTCATGATATTGCACGGCTAAAGGAATAGTCGTGCGGCCTCCACGACACCTCCGGCCTTTAGGCTGAGTGCCCCGGCAGGCAGGGCAAAATAGGCTCTGTGCGGGGGGAGATCCCTTCCATGCAGAGTCGAAGATTTGGGATGTCCTGGACAAGGACCTTGAATCTAGGCCCATGACCAACGTCCGACTAAGAAATCTTTAAGAAGCATACGACAAATAGAGGGGTTTTCTTTGCTTTTTCAGTCTCAACCCCAGTTAAACCCTTAAGCGTGGGCCCCTTAGGCCACCCGAATACCCAATATAGATACATACATTTATATATATAAAGTAGGCATAGTATGCGATAATCACTTCTCACAATCACAGTGAGACTCCTCACAACCATATATATGTGGGTGATCGCAGGCAGTCAAATCCAAAATCCGAACCACAAAACATATCTGCAATCACATCAAGGAGTCAACCAAAAATCCACGCACTACACGGAGTCAACTTCAATCAACCTCTATACTCATACCCCTTGCTTTAGTCATGCAAGCCCCAACCCTTGTCCAACCACCCATAATCAAATACTCAGTACCTTTGTTAAATGGTCATTCAATAAAAGTCTGGGTGAAAACCTTAATAAACAACAAAAATCACCAGGGCTATAGCCTTTTAGGTTGAGTATAGAGGATGAATTGGAGTTGAGTCGTAGACTGACGAATCGGCGATCGACATGTTATCAGTGATAACAGAGGATGATCCTCAAGGGATCAAGCTGAATCTAGTCCTGACCTTGAATTAATCGACCAAGCGGACCTGTAACACATGACAGGCCAATCCCCCAGGTTAACATATAAGCCCATGGAGAATAATCCCCATATCACGATCTCATTCATTTCATCCTAATTAACTATGCCTAAGTCTACCTATAAGCAAGTGTCCAAAGAAAAGGTAGAGCTTTGGGAGAATCTCCCCTATCCAGAGTGGATTACCAGAATCGCCACCTGCCAAAGTATAAACTATCTCCTCTAAACTAAGAAAATTTCGGTAGCGCTTTCCGGTAGGAAAAGTGTCTTTTCAAAATTTATATAAGCTTAAATATAAAAATATAGGTAATTTCTAACTTAAGAAAGTCAAATTTTGTCTAAGTCTCTGATTTAGTAAGAATTTGGACAACACTCCCTCTAGAAGAGTGAGACTTCCCAGATTTATACTAAGTCCGATACTAACTCGAAAGCAAAACTTTGTATTCACAAAGACAAAATCTAAGTAACTCATTAGTTTTGCAGAAATTTCGGCAGCTCTTCCCGTAGAGAAAGTAGCTTGCCAAGATTTACACAAAGCCAAGTATAAAAAAACGATCCCAGAAAATGCGAGAATTTATCTAAGTAAAAGAAAGTTGACTCAGAAAATGCAGAAATCGAACTTTAACTCTTATCGCTCTAGCACGTGGCGAGCAACTAAAGCAATTACCCAACAAACTGAATCTCAAACTAGGTAGTCATCTCACTCATCCACATGCAGACCAACCCATAAAGGTAAGTACTCTCACCAACCCCAAGTTATTTCACATAAGATAGTTCATTAGTCTTCAGATAATTCAACCCTTATACCTAACTTACATATGGTGCTAGATCATTCGGCTTGGAAACAATGTCTAGCGTGCCTTAAGATATACACGAACAGGTTGCACAACTACTTCTCTCTTCTTTAGGCATATGACTAGAGCATTCGGCTTGGAAACAATGTTTAGTCGCCTTGAATAGTTTAATTTCCAAAATTTAATAGTTCATTGACTTTGTTCTACAAAAAAATGAAAACATGGGTAGGGGACTGAACCATTCGGCTTGGAAACAATGCTCAGCTTGCCCAGATTACCCCCAATTATACTCTGTATTTTCCCCTTTCTTCTTAGTGATATGGCTTAGCGCCTGACCATTCGGCTTGGAAACAATGCCCAACCGCCAGTTCACATGCCAATATAAATAAAGTACTTCCCTTTATACTCAGTTTATAGTTATGTGCGTGGTTTTCAGGCTAAACCATTCAGCTTATAACAATGCTTAGCCTTTGACCAAAATCCTCCCTCAGAATTAAACAAGAACTTAACTCCCTTCAATCAGGCAAACCCTCAGAAAATAAACACAGCAACCAAGCCATTCAGCTTAGAAACAATGTCTGACCCTTCAAAAAACAACCAAATAAACATAGCCCTGGGCCATTCTGCTTAGAAACAATGCCCGGTCTTTGGTTGACCCTGTTAAACACATACAAAACTGCCTTCCTCCCACCTACCCCCAGTTCACCCCTTCGTCTATTTTTAATCAAAATAAAAATGAAAGTTATGCTTCACTCTCACACATTTCTTCCATTTAGTCTGATTAATTCTGAACAAAAGCAAAATCATAGGGGAAACACATGCATGCATTCAGTCAAATTAAAGGGAAGTAGTCAAACAGGGGTAATATGGGGTCATACAGATAGAGGAAGGTATACCTATCCATTCCCTGCCTCCAGAACCTCGCCTAGGTTCCGGCAGAGCTCCCGCAATTGGTGGGTGGGCTTCCCACAGAGTCTGGCTGCGGTCCTACGGGTTGCAACCCCGCCTGCCCCCTTCCTCTCAGAACCACAGACTAGACTTAGAGTTAGAAGGCCAGAAAGAGATAGGTTTGAGGCTCTTAGATCCAAGAGGGTTG